ATTATAGTAGTACATACATAGAAAAGAAGACATGATAAATACATAAATATGCATATCATATTGCATTCATCCTAAGACATAATTTTTTTCACACTTCAGTTCTGAAATTGGGATGGCTCTTACAATATATTATTAATACATAAATATAGCTTAGAAGTCAATGTATTTAAACAAAGACAGAAAAATGAGTGTGTGGCGGTCTTAAAAGATCCTTCCCTGGTGTGTTGTTAACATCATCATAGATTCAGAGCCCTTGTGACTAGTAGAATGGATTTATTAATTTGTCATCAGCCTAAAGGTTCTGATTGGAATTTGCCTTAAGCTTTAATGAAGTAGTTAGGGATTTGAGTACCTGGAGTCCTCAGAGTTTATAAAATATCAATAGAGTGCAGGTGTGAAGGAGAAAATTGGTAATCTTTACCTAATATCTACTTACATTGTCAAATATTTGCTCAGTATCTGTGGTTAAACCCTCTTTAGGATAGAATATAAGATATAATCTTTTAAGTCAAATACCTGACAGAACAGGGAGTATGATTCACAAACTCATAAAGAATAATAAGACATTTAAAATAATTTAAGAGCACAAAGAGTAGGGGTCCACAAGGGAATTTCTTAATTTTCTTTATCTATATTTTAAGTCTCACCTAAGCATATTTATTTGAATAAAAAGAAAACATTTATCAAGGAACTATTTTCTACCAGGTACTGAACTAGGTACCTTCACATTTATTATCTCATTTAATACAAGAGTCTTATGAGATTATTCAAATATGTGTTGGACCCAATTTTTACAAACTTATAAAGACTGCTCTAATTAATTTTTAAATTTGATTCTTACATTGTCATGAATATCAAAAGAATCACTAGATTAGACACATATTTTCCAAGAGCTGTGTAGTTTTTTGGAGCAGAGTGACTTCTTTAAATGTTACATATATCTTGGAAAAATTTTTACATTGTTTGTTATTATTTTTGTTCAGTAAAAACAATAAATGTTTTACTCAAAGTTGTCTTCTGCCTTCTCACTCAGTTTCAATGTTCAAATTTAATTATATATATAGTGGATTAAAACATTGGCTTTATGGAATACTAAAGGAACTAAGAGATTTTTTTCCCATGCCTTTGAGCTTTTAGTCTAGCTGTAAAGACAACTCCTAAAGATATAGATAACATAATACAAATGATAATAGGTGATACTACAAAAGATGACACAAAATTGCCCATTGTGGACCTAACTACCAAAACGGTCATATAGATAATACATTCAAATAAATTCATAAGAGGGAAGAGGACTTTGAACTCAGAGTTGAAGAATATGCCTTAACCATGACAAGAAGGGGCATTCCATTGAGAGTAATGAGATATTCGGAAGCCTAAAAGCAAAGAGGATAAAGCATGTCGAAGGTCTTAAACAAAAGTTTCATAGAAATAGGCTGATGCTGGACTGTGGAGTGTTTTGCTAGCAAGGCTCGGGAGACTGATCTCGTAACAGTGGAAACTAGCTAAAACAATTGTAGCAGAGAAATTGGATAATAAAATTCATATCAATTTGGTTGTACGGTATAGGGAAGGGGCTAGACATAGCCTGGAGCAGGGAGATGAGTTAGGGGAATACTTGGATAGTCCAGGTACCACTTGTGAGGAAGAGCTTGAACTAGGACAGTAACCTAGGCTGGTCCCAGCAAAGAGAAACTGTATGTCAGAGATGCAGGGGTAGGAAAATTTATCAATGCTGATCACTGGGTGGGTATGAAGGATCAATAGGAACATTTAAAAGAAAGGGAGGAAGAAAAAAAGAAAGGGAGAGAGGGAGACAGGAAGGAAGAAGAGCCAAGCCATTTTGGAAGACAGTGAATTTGGTTTTAGTTATATTGAGTTAATGGTGACAAGGACAGAGAAGTGGAATGCCCAGCAGGGAGCTGGAGTTGTAGGATTTCAACCAAGACTTAGGATTCTTGAACCACTTGAGTGGTTCTCAACCAGAGATAATTTTGCTCCCAGGGACATTTGGCAATGCCTGACATTTTTAGTTGTTACAACTGAGGGGGATGCTATTGGCATCGAGTGAGTGGAGGCCAGAGATGCTGCTTAATATCCTACAGTGCACAGGACAGCTCCTCACAACAAAGAATTTTCAAGCCCAAATGGCAATAGTGCTGAAGTTGAGAAACCGTGATGTAGAGAAGGAGAATCAATACATTTTCCATAGAAATGGCACCAAGGGAGAACATGTAGAACGATCAGCCAAGGGGCAAGGACTTCTTAGCAAATACCCACATTTAAAAGGTGTTAGTAGAAAGTGGTACTAGCATGGGACACAAAGGAGCAAAGGGTAGTAATAGAGGTAAACATGGAACAATTTATTGACTCATTTACTCAACAAGTATTGAACTCTTACATATGAGGTACTGAGAGCGGGGGATACAGAAATGCCATCATGGAGCTTATATTCTAGGGGAGGGTGACAGACAATGAACAGATAAAGGAGATAATCAGTAGGTGATGGGAAGTGCTATAACAAAGTCAACAAAATCGGGATCCCCGACAGAGAGGGATGGGAAGGGCGTGAAGGGACTGCTGTAGATGGGATGGTGAGGAAAGGCTCTCTGAGGAAGTGGCCGTTAGGCTAAGAACTAGAGGAAAAGTAACCAGTCCTAGGAACAGCTGGGATGATTCTATCATGAATTCCAAGGCAGGAGGAGAAAGGCTTAAGGGGGAATCAGGAGGATCAAAGGCTACTAAGAGGCCCTGCAGGGGTGCCTGTGCATGCGTAAATTAGGAGGACATCTGGATCCTTCAGAGCTGCCATCTTAAAAGATAAAAACATAAATTATAATTCTGAATTTTCTAATCTTCATTTATGGGAGGAAAAAACCCCAGATTTGTGATTTGGGGAATTTTAGAATAGTGCTGCAGGAGACCCCGGCAGAGTTCTGTTGGAATATGTCAAGCACTTACTCTTCACAACAATTTTCTCCACAAAAATTAGACAACCCCACACAACACAAAACCACGCAGTGATGGAACGCAAATGCTAATATTAATCATACTTTTAGAATAGTGCTGCAGGAGACCCCGGCAGAGTTCTGTTGGAATATGTCAAGCACTTACTCTTCACAACAATTTTCTCCACAAAAATTAGACATCCCCACACAACACAAAACCACGCAGTGATGGAACGCAAATGCTAATATTAATCATACTTTTTCTTTCTTTTCTTCCCCAGGCTTCACCAGGCTTGCCGCTCAGGCATTATCTATTGTAATCAGCAAGTTACCTACGGTGATTGCATGTTTGCCTCCCCCAATTAAATACTTCTTTTTTCTGTCTGAGAGAAAAATGTCAAAAAACTTTGTTGAATTGAAGAAAGCTGGCCTGCTTGTCTGGAACTTGATTGTAATTATATGTCGGATATTTGAGGATGGAAACACTGTGGAACTTTTAACAGGTGCCTCCCTTGACAGATGGAGTAAAGAAAAACTCGGTTTAATGTGTGTGTGTTTGGAAAGCATCATGGGAGACCAGGCGAGTAGCCCTAATCAAGTGATCCAAAAGGTCATGCAGAGCATCGAGCAGCAAAAGCCCAAGTGGATTGAAGGCCAATTGTTGAAAGCAAGGAAATTGAGTACTGAATGGTAAAGCAATGTTTTACTTTCACTGCACTTCATCAAATACTTTCACAATAACAAAATCACCAATAAACAACAACAAAATATTGTCAGATGGGCAGCAGTAGTATTTTGCTAAATTTGTGGGAACTTTGATGAATATAGAAAAAGATAAGTATCCCATTAAAAATTGGATTGTTAGGCATTCCTTGTCTTAAAATTTGAACCCCATTGATACACTGGAACATTATACTGTACTTGTTTAGTCACCGTCTTAAGGTTTCTGGTTGAGAGGGTGGTAGTTAAACCCAGAAGAATTTAGTTTCACTCCTTTTCAGTGTGCAAACAGGTATCTAGTGGATAGCCTGGAGCGTTTTGTAAATGGATTGGGCATGGAGATTAAATTAAGAAGGAATTAATGGATATAAAAGGCTTTTTATTGCTTTCTGTGTACCTGATTGTCAAAAAGGTACACATTTTTCATCTGGTAATGTAAGAATCCCAGAGGGCAACAGGGGCATATCACACTTCAGCTATAAACACACCCAGCTGTTTCTGTACGAAAATGTCAGCCTTCTCATAGGTTTGTCACCAAGAGCTAAGTGATTTGTGGTACCGCAAAGATTTTTAAGGGTCCCTGATGAATTTAAATATGTACATAGAGTCCTCCTGTCTTAAAATTAGTCTTCAGGTATAGAATTGCATGATATTGATAAAGGAATTCTGGCTCAGATGGTCTATAGATCACGAAGTCAGCCTTTTTTTAAAACACCCACGCACACTGTTCCCCGTTCTTTTAACATATATGAATGCTGCTAGCAGATACTATTATAGAATAACTTTCTGCCTAAAACCACTAAAAGTCTCTTGAAACATGGTAACTCTTACTAGTACATGGAAGTGATAAAGAGGTCAGGCTTTGGAATCAGACAGACAAGTACAAATCCCTTGCAATTGGGTCATTTTGTGAAAATTATTGAATCTTTCAAAGCCTCAGTTTCAGTGGTGATATGAAGCTGATAGAATTATTTTGAAAAATTAAATATTAATAACATTTATAAAGTTCTTAGTATCCAGCTTGGAACTATTAATAGTAAGCATTTGTTATTTATAAACTCTATTTACTGGTTAGTATTATAGTAACTAAGAGTCTTTACTTGTCTATGTTAATCTATAAGATTATGTATCTATAAGATTTTATATTAATCCAAATTTGGAAAAGTAAGTAATCATAATTTTCCCCCTCTTGTCATACTGACTTCTAAAAATTTACTTCTGTAATATCCCATGGGTAAGAATAATAATAACAGTCAGGCAAATGCTTACTAACATTGACAGTAACCTTCTTCATATTTGCGTTCAATGCCAATTTACAGGCTTTAATCCAATGACTAAAAAGATTAAGGCCGGATGCCGTTATCCATGGCAGTGATTATAAAGGGAAGAGAAAAAAATAGGAGTTAAAATAAGAGATCTGATTATAGTAACAAAGTCAAATTTATGATACTGTTGATTTAGGAGTCCCTCTATCAAATAAGATCCATTTAAAGTAATGGGTACTGTACCTAGGGCTGCATACAGGGATCCATAAGTTAAGTTTTTTCCTTAAAAGCTGATTTTAATTTAAGTTTCATAAACAGCACCAATGCATTTGGTATCTCCCATAGTGGGAGTTATCCAGCTATTTGGCTGATTACCAGTGAGCCAAAAGATTACCTATTTCTTACAACATGCATCAAAAATGAAGAGTTGCTTCATTTTAAAAATGTGTTATAGCCCTTGAAGATTCTGAATAATTATGTAATTAGCACAATGCTATGCCTTTCTCAATTTGCTCAAATGGTATCCACATACAGAAAATGCAAATTTAAAGTTATTTATTGCATTTATTTGAAAAAGGTAAATTTGACTTAACTCACTTTACGTAACAATCTCTTGCAGAGTTTGGGTGCCATAGGAATGTTTCTTTTAGACTTTGATTTCAAATTGATTATCTGATATAGAAGTGAACTTCCCTCTAAGTATTTCTCACAAATCAATGATCATTTAGCTCATAGATCTACACTATGAGGAAAAATGTGTTTCAAACCATGATGTCTATATTAGGTAGAGGGTTACCTTGGCTCTACCATATTTAAAAAAAAGTGTGTGTGTATATATATATATAGTTATTTAAGCATTTAAACTAAAATATTAATAGTTCTTCTGTTAACATAAATTAAATCTTAATTCCTCATAAAGATTATCTGGGAACTACCTGATGTCATTTAGCTAGATTTCTTCCACTTGTATCAGATTTAACTTTGATTTTACGGAAATGGTGAAAATAACTGCAGTGGAAATGGTGGCAGCTGTAAGTGCTGCCTGTCTTGCATACTGCCTGAAAGCATTACTGTTCATTAAAATAACCTTCACTTTGTAGTAACACTCAAGCTGTAAACAGTCAACTTAGATTCTGGAGAACACACAGCCCAAAAAGTAAAGAAATGTCTGTCTTTGCAAAGTAATTTGTCGAGTTGAAGATTATTGTTTTTCATCATGGTGACCCTGACTTGGCTGGCTGGGTGCATATACAGATTAAGATTAATGCAGTTATTCCTTGGCTAAGGTCTGCCTCTTTCAGGGCACATTCTCCCTAATGACATGATTGATAGGCAGTCCCAAATCCGGAGAGGAACTCATTAATCATAGCATTGACTGAATCCAATCATTTGCTTCACCTGCAAAGTGATGGACAGGAAAGGATACAATTCAGGGGCTGACAGTGAGATACTCCTTTGTCAGAGGGTCTCAACTTTTTCAATGTCAGCCTCTACAAAACCTGACAAGAAATTTTGCTTGCAACCTGTATGCAGCTTCGAAAGATATTTGCAAACATATTTTATTGTAACAAGGTCTTAAAAAATACCACTGTCTAGCTAATGAATATCTCTATATTCAGAGAGAATTTTTCAGAGTAGGATTTGCTTTATTTTTTAGCAAAGCTTGTATGATTTTAAAGTTCCTTTTTTTTTTTTGAGATGGATGTTTTGAAGCTACATGTGGAAGCAATAGTACAGTTAATGTCCAGCAGCTGGGGATCATTTGGTTCAGTCTTCAGGTCAGCGGCACCGACTCTTAGCAGAACTAATTTTATAATCATGGCAAAATCTCAGTAATGAACTGTAGTATACAGCTGATTACACCACAGTAAATTGCATTTAGTCTGAGAAACAGTGGAAAACCGTGAGTTTTCTTAAGAATGCTTACGTTGCAAAGCCTAACATGATCCTAATAGCAATTGTAAGAAGAAAATTAGTGTGGAGCATATATGATGTAAGTTAAATATCATAATTATTTTTTGCATTGGTATAGTTTGAGATGTTTAAAATGGTTTTTATGTCATAAAGTATTGCCATGTAAATAATGTTCAAAATTAACAAGTATGTGGATTCTTCTAAAAGAAGTGTTTCAGAACTGCATCTTGCATATTCCTGGTGTGGTGATAGTAGACCCTTTTTCTTGAAGAATAATCAGAGTAGTGACTTTTTTTGCTAAGTATGATATCTTTTACAGAAAGAAAGAGGAGTAGGGGGTATATATTTTTAAAACCCAACAAGTGTCAAAAGCCAATTTAAAATACCCAGTGGTAAGCACACCTGCCATGAAGCTCTCAGCTTATATTTAGCATAATAGACTCCCCCTTTTGACACTTCAATTAGTCTTTAATGTGTTCTACGACAGGTGTAAAGAGGAATCTACAAAAGACAAAATACCAAAGCTATTTCTGGCTTCAAAGATACTTTTTTATCCTGAAAGAGAAAATACAAATTATTTCTTACATGTTCTTAAAAAGAAATGTTTTGTTTTCATCCCAAGATTATAGCAATTTCAACAATTGCAGTAATGGGAAAATGTTTTATAGAGAGGAGTATAAAGGCAATAAAGAAATGTTTTAAAAGAAATGATTCAATTTTTAAAAATACTTTCAGGTGCTTAATTCTAAGGTGCTGTGTGTCTGATCAGCAGCAGTTTGGGGAGGCTTACTACCTATGTGAGTGAAATCTCTACAGGTGCTTTGAATATGGGATTTACATCGGCTGTTCACTCTCAATCTCGGTGATTATTTTCCGTCTTTACAATCCTTTATCACTGATATGTATATGCTTTCTTTGTATTTAGTGCATTTATGACAATAAAGGAAAGCACAGCCTTAGAAGAAGGAGATATTGCTCTTGAACTGACTGAGCAGAAAATAAACACGATGGTCCTGGATCTCTGCCACAAACCAGGTGGCAGCGAGTACCTGAGGCAAATTTATCACATCATGCGGCTCAATGAGGTAGGGAAACAGCCTTTTTACCGAGCAATTAGGTGTGTACTGGCCTGAGGCAGCGTCTGCTGGCAGCTAAGGGTTAGTCAAGGAGGTGATAATACTTCTTAAAGTCAATACCAAACTCAATATCGCGTTATTAATAGAATCTATTGAGCCCCGGCTGTTCTGCGTTTGTACAGAAAAAGCTTCATCGAAACAATGTAGATTTTATTTATATGGTTTAAACGATAACATGGCTCATAAACTCAGTTCAGTTCTGAATTGTAGAGAATAGAGGAGTAGTTTGGGAATTGTGAGTTTGTGACTGTTAAGCTGATGTTAAAAATCTGGTATTTGTAAAATGAAGAATTTTCCAAAGAAAAACGTAGTAGCTCTTTTCCTGAAAACATCATACTTGTGTTGGGGAAGTTGGGTATTTCTTACATAATGAAAAAAATTTCTGAAGAATGTTGAACTATATTGGGGAGCAACCAGATTAACCCAAGAAAATTCATTAATGCATGGACACTGTTTAGAACCAATGTTATGCTCATCGATCTCTTTGCTCAGTTAAGCCTCTGACCTTGCACGTTTTTTGGCTGTTTTAGCGAAAATGTAAATAGCAGGTTATCTCAGCCATTAATATTTACTTGAAACAACACACATTTTCTGACTTAATCAGGTTTTTAATTTGAACATCTGTATCTGAATTAGAGTGTGGCATATGTAATTATGTTTATATTTGCAAACATACGAATGTATTCTTTGGAATAGTAAAAATTGTATAATTTGAATAATGTGAATATGTAGTTTTATGTCAATAATATAGTTCTTAAAAACCACACATTTCCAAGAAGTGAATTAAATTCTACGACAGCATTTTACATCTCAGTTGTATAAGTGTTCTGGCCACTATTATCTACCTAAAAGTTACTTCAAGTTAATCTTATTTCTTGGGTTTCATACCGCTAATCAACCAGTCAATAAACTGGTGACATAACATTGTATTCAATGATAATCTGAGAGGGATGTGAGAAATTTGTAGCTATGAGAAATGACCTTGTCCTTAAGGCATCTGAGCTCAGTATGTAATTGTTACAAAGTGACACAACATATTCACCCTTGTTAATGATCCCTATAGCTTGCTTAGGGTTTCTATTTGGGGAACTCTGGAACCCCTCGCCTTGGCTAACTGAAAGACCTCTATTGCAAAGTCATGTTACTCATTGGTATGTTCACCTGGCCACCCACATTGGCCCAAGTAATTGTAGTGACCCCTCAGGAAGAGAGATTGCAGTATGGTCACCCTCATATCCTTAGTAAAGTGGTGTTACAATAGCTCCGAGGATGGTAATGGCTAGTATAGATTACCAAACTGATAGAATAGTCCTATTTTTAAAAGACCCACCACAATACTAAAAAAAAGTCAATAATTCCCAGTAAGCAAAACCATCAAAAGTTAAGTTGGATAATTATGGGCCATTAGTCATTTCATATATTCCGGAAAGCCAAAGGCTGTTCTTCCCTTGTAGAAATCATATAACTCTGAGGCAGGGGTTCTGAGCAGGTGTGCTATGAGATCTTCACTGGGCTGTCACCACATTTTGATACCCCAACTCAAAGTTCTGATTTTTCTCTTGTTACAACTGACTATATTTACTATTATGCCAACGTGTACCAGGTGGGATGCAGAGCTAAGTATCTGGCAGTTTGCTATGCCGAATGAGCCAAGAGGCTGCTTCAAGGCAAGAGGCATAATGTTAGGTGAGGCTAGAGACAGAGGAAATAAGAGACATTTGCCTTGTGACTAATAAAAAAACAGGCAATAAGCCCAAACAACACAAGGGAGACTAAGTGACTAATATAGTACTTACGACTGCGTTTATCAGTGAGGTATTGCTATGCAGTAGGTGAAATTGCAATGTGACGTTTGCTTGCTTGATGAGTAGTGCTATGAGACTTTAGCACCTTCAGATGTGCTGCTAAATATTACTCAAAAATGTAGTATAAATACTGAAGCATTTATGGGTACAGGCCTAGGTGAGGGGAAGAATGGGTGTGCCATTGATAAAAAAAGAAGTTATGAGGGAAAATGGGTTTAAAGACGCTTTGTCTTTGAGATAAAGGTAAGATGTCCAAGCAAAAAAGTCCGGTTGTAGTTAAGGTCCTGGCCGTGAGCACAAGTGAGACAGGCCGTGCCGTGGATTTGGTGGTCTTCAGTGGGTGTGGGAGTTGAGGTCTTCAGACCGGCAGAGCTCTTCAATGAAGAGAAGCAGAGAAATGATGGCTAGAGAAATAAGCTTTGATGTAACTGCACAGGGAAGATGTTCAAGAGAGAACGGAAATCTTCTAAAGAAATATCCTGATTAGTGGTAAACCTGATAAAAGCAATGTCACAGTAAAAGAATCTAAGGTTTTTAAGAAGGGGTAGTGACAAATGTCAATATAGCAGAGATTAACAAGAGAGAAAACGCCATTTTGTTCACAATTCGCAACAGCGCACTTTCTCTTTTTTGAATAGTGGAAACAAAAAAAGTCAAAATATAGTTATGTAGGGGAAATCTGTTCAGAAAGATTGTTATTAGCCAAAATAAAGCATTTTTTCCAATAGAGTATTCCTTTTTAAAATTGTACTCACATAAATCATGATGGAGAAAAATTTTGTTTCTATTCAATGATCTAAATCTAGGCGTAAAATTCTTTTCTGATGGCTTTATCATTATTTAATAATATTTAGTAAGAGTCCGTGTGTGAGGCCGGGTGCGGTGGCTCACGCCTGTAATCCTAGGTCTCTGGGAGGCCGAGGCGGGTGGATTGTTTGAGCTCAGGAGTTTGAGACCAGCCTGAGCAAGAGCGAGACCCCGTCTCTACTAAAAATAGAAAGAAATTAATCGGACAACTAAAAATATATAGAAAAAAAATTAGCCGGGCATGGTGGCACATGCCTGTAGTCCCAGCTACTCGGGAGGCTGAGGCAGGAGGATCCCTTGAGCCCAGGAGTTTGAGGTTGCTGTGAGCTAGGATAACGCCACGGCATTCACTCTAGCCAGGACAACAGAGTGAGACTCTGTCTCAAAAAAAAAAAAAAAAAAAGGAGTCCGTGTGTGTCACTTTCAGACTCTAAAGAATTAGTCTTTCTAAAGAGGTATGCTCTACAACAAGCAAGTCTAAGAAATGACTATTATTGTTAAGTGTTGTTTCCTTAGATTTTTAGGTTTTTAGGACCTAAAATTTGCCTTCCACAATCACAGTGGGCATTCATAAAGTTACAGTGGCAAAAGAAAACTCACAGTGAACTGAGACCAGATATGTGGCTTCTTGCCCCAACTCTACCACTCACCCCTGTATGACCTCAGGTTGTCCCCTGACCTTTCAGAGCCAACCATTGAGGGTGGTGTTGGGCTAGAGTTCACAAACTTTCACATGCCCCCATTTTCCTGGGAGTTCTGGTTAACAGGTAGACTCTGATTCTGAGAGGCTTGAGAATCTGTTTTCTAACAAGCTGTCAGGTGAGCCTAATTCTGCAGATCTGCTCAGCCGACTTCGAGTAGCACAGGTTTTCTAGATGACCTCTGAATTCCTTTTCAGCTCTAACATTCTGAACTTCGTCCTAACCCTAACCTCAAAGAAAAACATATTGTAACACACTGAAAATCAAGAAAACATTTATATTTTACTTATTAAATGACTTATTTATTAATTGTAAGCATTTGTTAGTTGATGGGAGACTTTTAGTCATTTTAATTTGTTGTCTTCCAGAAAAAGTCTCATAGAATACTTTAGGATTGTTCACCTTATTTATTTATGGGTGGAAAATAAAGTAAATAGATTGACAAATATAGATATAAAGCACTAGATTGACTTTTTTGTGCAGGCCTGCACTGGTAGTTGGGGGATTAGAATGACAAATTTTGAGCTTCTATTGAATCTTGACATTATTCAGTTCATAGGATGAAAATAGAATTTAGGAGCTTGCATTATAATTAATTCTGCATAGAATGAGACTGCTTGTAGTAAAATATCAGAGTGCTCAGCACTCTGCTGAGCCCAGAGTAGGTAGCAACTACACTTAATAAATGAGCAATTTGTACTGTTGCATAATCATGCATCAGAGTTAAGTTTTGGTAACCAGAATGTTAATACATGAACCAATGACTAGACAATGCTTGTTAAAAAGATCCTGATATATCAATCATACATTCATTATATGAGAGTTTGTTAAATGGTTTTCTAATCTCTACTGTATAGTAGGTAAACCTGTTTTTTGATGGGTTTATTGCATTGCTGACTGGTACTCTGCTATGTATCCTCTGAAAATGTATTCTTCCTAAGGCAAGTAATAAACTGTAATCTAGCAAATGTGCTGAAAGGGTAAATTTGGATATTGATCGGTTTATTTTTAAAGAGAATGTATGCTTCTTACCATCATGACTTGTAATTTTCTTTCCTTGAAGGAATATTTAAAAGAACAGCTGCTTTGTATGAATGGTTCAGAGGAAAAGCCATTACCCACCCGACCTTTAAAGACGACCTTGAGAAGTGTGGAAGATCAGCCTTCTGCCTTTAACCCTTTCCATGTCTATAAGGTGTTTAGTGAAAACATGCTAGATCAGGTATGTGGAAATTAAATGGTAAATTTAATTTCAATGTGTCATTTCTTTACACAAGTGAGAGAAAATGCTTTGTGTTTGAATATTTACTCAAAAGCTTTTTTTGCTAGGAAGCAAAAGGCCTTGTTCTTATTTACATGGTCTGTACAAATTGACTTTTAAAAGTTATTTTGTCTTCTCTCTATTTGTCAAACTGATTCATATGTTTGGTCTGTAAAACTTAACTTGACCAGGTCAGTTTACCACGGGCAGAGGGAACATCTATTAGGCTGTGTCTACAGAAGGAGGAAGAACCAGGCATTTTGTAACATTTTTCCCCTCCCTTGCCACCCTCTCTCCCCGACACACACACTCAGAAAACTCCTTGCAGTCTATACAAATGTATCAGGAAAATTGGAAAATAGTTTGAAATTAATTATAAATGGAGCATTGAGCTCCTATTTTAAGTGGCATGAGGTAAATTTGCTTTTTATAACCCTAGACACATTCCCAAATTTAAAATGAATTTGTTAATGATCTAAAAGCCAGGCTATTTGGAATAAAGTCAATGCGATAAACACCACATATTTTTTAATGTCAGATTGTGCCATTGCTTAAGCTGCATTTTCAGTAGTTACATTAAAAAGATCATCTTTCTGCCAAAGTATTTGAAATCTCAAATTGCTTTTGCTTTGTTCATTCTTCTGGTGTCTTTTCCCAGAAACCTCTTGACAGACGATTTGAACTAACAGGGCAGAAGAGAAGGATTGCTTGACCTAGAGCTCTGATGAAAATAAGAATTAAAACAATGGCCTAATTCAGCATGCAGATAATATTTTTACCATGCCTGTTACAGCCCTAGTCTACATTCATCAATACTGTAGTAGAGTAAGACCTTCAAATGCTGACAACCCGGGACAGAATTCTCCTGCTCTACGACAGGATAGTAGTGCTCAATTAATCAGCAGGTGACAGGGGGATAGCTCTCCTTAGACTTTAAACATCAACTTGGACTCTTATTACCAAAACTATTTTGTTTTAAGGAACATAAGCATCTATAATACTTTAAAACCAAATATATTGTATAAGTTCAAGTTTATTGGCTGCTTTCCTGTGTTGTACATTAGATTGCTCCAAATCATAAATAATTATAGTGGCTGTTAGATTTTCCTTACTTCATTTAAATAAAATGGCATGTTTTATTGAGTTTCTGAGTTATGAGATTCTTTTTCGCAGTAATTTTTCTCCTTACTCTGTTGCGAAATTATCTATTAATGGGGAAAAAAAAGAATCATTTATATTATTTACACTTACAGGTCCTTATAATCTTCCCTTTAAAGCATTTTCTTAACCAAAAGACTAACATTAATAACACACTATAAATAAGCTGTGTCTTATAATTTGAGTCTAAGTTTGTTTTTTTTTTAATTAAACTTTTGGGTGCTAAAAAACTCCAAGTATAAATTGATATATGAAAAAGTTGCCAATTATTTTGCTTTGCTTTTCAAAGTCGGCCTCTCAGAGAAACTTGTTGGGCAAATGCCATTAACACTTGGAAGAATAACGACTCAAGAAATTGATTTATATTTTTATAAATAATGACTACATCCCCAAATGGATCTATAAATTAATTGCTGTCTTACTGGAATAAAAACCTTCTTCTGTGGACGTGATTGATGTTATCTGTCTAAGTCCTTGTTCTGGACCCCCCTCCTTCTTGGTTAGTCTATCACAGCTGGAGCTTTAATTTACTGATCATATTAACTCTGATTAATAACTAACAATAGTGTCTTCTCATTTATCAACAGTCAGCCATCACAAAATGGAACTGGAATTGGGCAAATTTGCTGCCAAATTATCTGGGACTAGATAAGATGACCTTCAGTGTACTTCTCCAAAACAGGTAATAAAATTGGGGATCTGGTTGGGGAAAAAGTTGTGGGGAATGTGGGTTGGAGGGGTGTACACACACACACACACACACACACACAAACACATTTTACCAGTGTACTTTTGGGAAAAGTAAAACATTTCATCAGCAAGGGAATCTTTTATTTATTTCCTCTTCAGTCTTTCATCTTTAAAAAAATATGGCTAAAATTATATGAGTACACTTTCTAAAGGCTGCTTTCTATTGTGAACATTTGCAAAAGGCAGTCAAATTTGTTTCTGAGATGAAATTAGTTGATTTTAATCTGAATTTTAAATATTTTTGATTTTAAGTATTTAATAATTCACTATTGTAAACACCACAAGTTATTGACTTGAATGTCATTATAATACTATACCTTTGTTTACAACAATTTAATGAATGCATATAAAATGCCAAGGCAAATCAACTAGTCTAATCAGGGAAACATATAAATAAAACTGGCATGATTAAATTTTTCACTGTTTGGCCAGTTATTTTGGCAATGTCTTTCTGCAGTCTTGGTTGCATATCATTTTACACACACACCAGTACAACTCAATAATGTGATTTCAGCCCAGGGATCTACACATGTCATTTATTTTACACAAAAGTATAAACATTGTCTTTCTATTTAGGATTAATTAACATTTTTTATACCTCTAAAGTTTCAGTGAGCACTGTAAGGTGTAACCTTTAAAATTAGATTTTTCTATTAAATACCACATTTTCAAATAAGATATATTTGTATGAGACTCCTTTTACTGTTTAAGTGTCATCTGTGTGCTAATAGCTAAGTATGAGAATGATTTTATACATGGTCTTTGTGATATAGAATGTATTTCCCTATCTTTATGCAAAAATATTATGTATCATTTTTCCTGAAAGAAAATAATGACATTGACATAGTAGAATTGTCAAATAATTCTTGAGAAATCTGGGTGCATATAAGAAAATATCTTAAGAGAGAGATTGCAGTATTTCCCAGAAGAAGTTTTTTTTTAAAAAAGGCAGCTTTACTGTGAATAAAAGCTATAGCTCAGATATGTGGTCACAATGGTATTTCTACTATTTCACCCTTGAATTAAGCTCACCCACCCATCAAAGTTGAACAACCCAGAAGCTTTTCAATCAAGGACAAAACCTTCTCCCAGCAAGCTTACTACCTGCAGGCAGCAGTCCAAAATGCACCCTATTCGTGCACAAGCCCCAAAGGTGCTCCTGTACTGTCCCGAAGGTGTTTGGAAGGGTGACAGGTGGGGTCGGTGGAGAAGAGGCCAGGTCCTCTGTTGAACCTTCAATTATATTATGTTTACACAATATTAAATGTCTGTCTGGAAACAAACTAGGAAAGGTAAGTAATGTTTTTTCTTATTTTGAAAGTTTTGAGTTTATATAGATTAACTGTATTATATTTTGCTAATTTTTTTCAACTATGAATTGCTGCTTCCAATCTACTAAATAGGTACTCTAGGGACATCACATCCTTCAAAACTTACTGTATTTGCTTTGTATAATATTCACTTCTAGGTGAATTTGTGTTTTAACCAGAATTGCATATTGTATTTTTGTTTAACAACTTTAGATGTACTCAATTAGGTCACTGTCTATTTAAGTGCATTTTTCTGAGATATGTGCAAGAGTCAGTGGGAGAAAATAATCCCCACAAATTTAGCCAAAAATAACAGGTCAAGCAGTTCCCTTGGAAAAAGGGTCATGAATGTTTAAAAGAAACAGCTAGAGTCTCATCTTAATAAGAACCTTAAGTTTTTAAAGAATGGTATGAAAAGCATTCTACTGCAAACTACCACACACCACAAGCTACAATGACCCTAATTGATCTACTTTAGAAGGATAAAAGACACCTGAGAGTTTTTAATCTCTTCTATCACTTTCCCATTTATTTGAAGAATGTTATTTATGAGTTTTGATTAATATTGAACCAATAAGAAAATTGTTTCTGTTATTAATATTTTCTCTAAGACACTCTCTTGATTGGACTTATCTGAAGATGCTAATTTTTAAAAAAATAGTGCATTGAATTTTTGACAACATTGGTTATCTGAAAGGTACACATTTGAAAATGAGAACACAGAACATTGAGCTTTTAGAATAAGAGTTATATATGCCACCCAACATCTAAAAATTATGGTATTTGGGGTTAGGTAAAGCCAAAGGAAAGACTTCAGAGCAGCTCAGTTTTTTCTCCCAAATTCACCAATCAGATAAGTCACTTGTTCTCTTTTTGCTCCCTTTATTGGTAATACATTTGTACTAGTCTATCTCTACACTGTGATCTAGTGTATCTGTGAGGCTGCAAAAGTTGTTTGAGGACATAATGTTATAAAGTGAACCAAAATACACAAATATGAACAAATTCAAGAGAAAGGAAGGGAATCCTTTCTATCTACCTCTTAAATTCCTTTGTGCCTCATCTTTACCTTCAATATAATCAGCAGACCATCTGTGGACTTACTCTTCCAAGATGCCTAGAGTGCACCAAATCTCTCTCACCCCCAAACAAGATGGAGATGGGGAAGCAGGATTCCTGGGTTCTCAGGAGCTTTTCTTTGACTTTAGATTTCCTTTAAAATGGAATAATGAAAATTATATAGCTACTTCATGGAGATTGTTCACACAATCAAGAGTCCTAAAGTATATGGAAGTGTTTTTGAAAGTTGAACGTACAATACAGTCATACCTTGGTATTCGTGGGGGTTCCAGGACCCCCACAGATGCTAACATCTGTGCATCCTTAATTCTCTTCATATAAAATAGTATAATATTTGCATATAACCTATGCATATCCTCCTGTATACTTTAATTCCTCTCTAGATTACTTGTAATACCTAATACAATTCCCACACATCACTTCATTTGCATGGATTCAGCATAGTAGTTGGTGCATGGCAATTCAAGTTGTGCTTTTTTGGACCTTTGTGGAATTATTTTTTTCTGAATATTTTCTATCCATGATTGGTTGAATCCACTGATGTGATACAGAGGGCCACCTGTTACATATTCAGTAGTAGTAACATAGCAGCAGTATTGGTGTCTGGTCAGGTAAGGAAATAGTAAAATTCATTAAAGATTAGTAGGGAGTTGGTGATTTGAGATTAAGCATTCAGACCACCAGGGTTATATAGACTCCAGTCCTAAACCAATAGTGAAGGCCAGAACAAATACCAGGTCAGAGACCAGGCAGCCGGCTATAGATCTGGAAGACAAACAGTGAGAAAATAAGCCAGGAGGAGGGTCAAAAGGTTAAATGAACCACTCAGGAGATAAAGTCTCAAGAGATGTAGGCTTGAGGGACAGTTCAGCCACATGAAAGAGGAAATCTGTGGTGCCAAGGATATCTGTATCTGAGGCAATACTGGCCTTCGTTTCACAAACTGGTTCTGTGTTCTGAAACTCCAAAGGCAGAACAAATCTTGAAGTAGTTACCAGAGTCCTTGGCAGAGATGTGCCCTCTGCTCACTACATGGCCTCATCTCAGAGCACCTCCATACAATTCAAGGTGCTCCGAGTAGATTGTCTTCTTCATATTCTTTGGATTCTCTAACGTCTTTTCCACTTTAGGATCTTAGTACTTACAGTTCCCTCAAGCTGGTGCCATCTTGTCCATATGGGGCAAATGTTAGCTGCCGAGAGAAGTCTTTCCTTATCACCCATCTAACGTAGTCCTCCAGGACACTACAGCATTCTACTCTACTGTGTTTTCGTAATGGAGTTACCACTATCTAAAATCTTACTTTCTGCTTATTGTCTATTAATCTTACCCTCTACAGTAGAGTGTAAACCCCATGAGAATAGCACTTTATTTGCCTATTCCAGCTGTGCTTTCAGTATCTAGAGCAGATCTTGGGCACATAGTAAGTTGTAAGTAATATTTGTTGAATTACTTAACAAGCAAATGAGGAATAAGAATGCAGAGAAAAAGTCAACTCCTGACAGATAAGCATAGAGTAGGTATTCTCTAAATGTGATGTTTGATTAATAGTCATGTAGGTACAAGAAGTATACTCTGGAAAATCTCAAATAAAAAATTATCTACCTGCATATTGATTCTCTTCATTTTCCAAATTTGGATGAAAATCAGTTTATTTAAGCTCTACATGTTTAAAATATCTGCTGTTATTATTATTGTTATGTGAAATTTGGCTAAGATTAAAAAAACAGAAAACTGGTCTTTATTTTTAATTAACTGATCCAATTCAAGTCATAACCTCTTCTGCAACAAAGTCTGTTCTTTATTCCGTGACTCATAAATCTTTTGACATTTGGGTGATACGGTTTACATTTGTTAAATGACACTAAAAATGCAAGATGAAAACTTTAAGGTGGAGTTAGCTGACAAAAATATCCAAGCAAGCCTTTGTAAATTAATTGTGAGTGATTTTTGAGGCATTTGAAGAAATATATAGTAGCTGACACATCAGAAAAGAGACCCTGAACATATATTAATGTTATATGTGTTTTGACTTAGAAAGTTTGCCATTGTGGAAAATAAAGACTCTCTAGCGGTTCAGAAAATCAACATATATATCAGTTCTACACCTTTACCTTTAATGCTATATAAGAATAAGTACAGTGATTTTACATTGATCTTTTGAAATAATAAGGGTACTTTTCACAGTTTCTTACTATTAGTTTCTTGCTTTTGTTCTCAGCCACTTTAAAATAAATCCAGACTAGCGAATGAGACGGTGATTGCATTTGCAGGAGAGTGCACCAAAAGGAACACTCCATTCCTTCATTCATGGCGAATCTCCAGATTGCCATTTTGATATTGTTTTCTTTGTCACTGGCACAAATTTATGTTGCTTCTTTTCTCTTTACCTTATTTATTCCAAACTAATTCCCAAGAATTGTGGGGTTGAAAATAATCTGTGAATACAGTTGAGTGCTATGCTGTTTTAACCATCTAAATATACTGCATATGAGTTTGGCTTCGAGTTGAGCAAACACAATTAAATATGATGGCAGGAACA